TTAATTATGTACAAGGGATGTAATCATAATCTATTTATTTCGCTTCCGCACTTATAATAAATATATACATTTCATTTTAAATTTTTGGGGCCGTTACATTGCATTTTTTTTTTAAAAAAATACTTTGAACATATTTATTATCCAAGGATATAAAATATAAATTTATCCAAAAATTTATTCTATTAAATAAATTAAACAATTCACTACAATAATATAATATAATTTTCTATACTCAGTTTTATATATTTAGAATATTATACTATATTTATGGGATTAATATATAATAATTAGTTTTTTTATTCCAAAACATAATTAACTTAAAATTTAAAATATCGGATTTATTAATAGTTAGCGGTAATTATTATTTTAAATAAAATTGAAATATATGTGTAAACAATAATAGTTATTATATATTTTTAGAATAATAAAAAGTATAATTAGCTAGATCCAAATTTTAAGTACTTATATAATTTAATATCAATCTTATTATATGGGTATGTAGATTAAAAAAAAAGCTACTCAAACAAAAAAAATATATACTAAGAAGAAAGAAGTAAGCCTGCTCGTATAATGATATAAAAGAATCATAGGTAATTTTTTTTAAATAATTATTATAAATATTGGCTTTTTTAATCTTTGGTACAAGTGTCATAACTTTATTGGTCAACGGTGAACACGCCATGCAATGAAGCCCACCTGACCGAGGACATGAGCAAAACTGGTATCAGACACCGTTTTTTTTTTTTTTGTATCTCATGATTCGGTGCTCCCCACTATCCGTATGACCCAATCATCATACCCCACGTCACCGATTACACATGAGGTTTGACTTTTCTCCACGTGGCAGCTTGTAATTGGTAGAATAATGCATAAAACTGAAACTTTTGCACTGAATCATTACCCCAAAAAATTTGATTCGAATGGAGAAAAAAATTGACCTCTCTCTCTCTCTCCCCATTCAGAGAGTCAAAAAACATGACAAGAAAGGGAAACAGTCAGTAGAAAGTATCAGCATAAACAGATCCACTCTGTTTTTTTCTTTTTTAATTTTTCTATTGAATTTTTGCGCTTAACATGCTTCAAAAATCTTGAATCTGATTATCTACCTAACGATCTTCCACTTCATCTTCATCACTGCAACTTTCAATCCACAAAAAACCAGAGAAAAGCTTGTTTTATTTTTACTGTTTTCTTGCTTCTAGTTTTCTTTTTTGTGCATATATTTATATTTTCCTTCATTCTCTGTGGCACAGTTTGTGGGCAGCTTCAAATCATTACTCCTCTCTACTTTTGTCTTAAAAAAGCTAAGCTCCTCTTTAATTAGCGTATGCGCACACACATTCTCTTAATAATCTAATCAGCCTTTTTGATTTAGGGTTTCAGTGTTGCGTTCACTGGTTTAGCTGCGGTACTATACTTGAGCCTGTCATTTTCATGGTGGTGTTTGGATGGAAGGAAAATGCGGCTTGAAGGTGAGGCAATGTGATGGAAAATGAGTGTTTTGGTGGTCGTGGTGCTGTATAGAGGGAGACATGGGGTGCGTGTTTGGGAAAGAGGCATCGGCGAGGCTTGCGGAGAGAGGGAGAGAGCGAGAGGGAGATAGGAGGAAGAAGGAAGTGAATGATGCGGTTAGGGTTAACGCGGAGGGGGAGGTGAGGAACGGTGGCAATAAACAAAAGGAGGGAGAGGACGGGGAGGATGGAGGATGTGTGAGGCCCAAGGAAAGGGAGAAAGACAGGAGGCGGTCGTCAAGGCCCAAATCCGCGTCTGAGCAATCCGCCAAAGAACGTGCACGGCGAGCAGGTGGCTGCCGGCTGGCCCTCTTGGCTCTCCGCCGTCGCTGGTGAAGCTATAAGTGGCTGGACGCCTCGCAGAGCAGACACCTTTGAGAAACTTGATAAGGTAAAAAGATTTATTATCTCTTTCCACTCTTCTTTGACAGAAATAGTTTTAGTGTCCTTTTGGAATTGGTTTCATAGTGTTGAACTGTCGAGAAAATGTAGGGAAGAAGAAACGCAACTGTTTTTCTTTTTGGTACTTTCTATAAGTAGCCATCTCTGCCCTGGTTAGGTAGTATGGTTATTGCTGGGAGAAACAAAGACTGCAGCATGTATATTAAATTACTGGATGAAAAATGTGTTGACTGATTTATAATTTCTGCATGATTTTTTACTAGATTGGGCAAGGAACGTATAGTAATGTGTACAAAGCTAGGGATACTTTGACAGGAAAAATTGTTGCATTGAAGAAGGTTCGATTCGACAATTTGGAGCCTGAGAGTGTTAAATTCATGGCCAGGGAGATCTTGATCTTGCGCCGCTTGGATCATCCTAATGTTGTTAAATTGGAAGGTTTGGTAACTTCAAGGATGTCATGTAGTTTGTACCTTGTATTTGAATACATGGAGCATGATTTGGCAGGACTTGCTGCGAGCCCAGGAATCAAGTTCACAGAGTCTCAGGTATTGTAATTGTTCTCTAGTTGTGCTCCTGTTTTCTCATTTTTTTCTTCTTCGGTTAATTTCCTTCCTTAGTGTTCTTACTTACCTTTTGATACCTTCATATTGCAGGTGAAATGTTATATGCACCAGCTATTATCAGGGCTTGAACACTGTCACAACCGCCATGTGCTGCATCGTGATATTAAGGGGTCGAATCTTCTTATAGACAATGGTGGTGTTCTTAAGATTGCTGATTTTGGGTTGGCTTCTTTCTTTGATCCTAATCACAAGCAGCCGATGACTAGTAGGGTGGTTACCCTATGGTATCGGCCCCCGGAGCTTCTTCTTGGCGCTACTGATTATGGCGTAGGTGTGGATCTTTGGAGTGCTGGTTGTATCCTAGCTGAGTTATTGGCTGGGAAGCCTATCATGCCAGGACGAACAGAGGTACCTCTCCAGAAGTTTCATTTGTTCAATAAAACCAAGCTTGTGATATCCCCCTCAACCTTTCTGTACATAGACCAAAGTAGTCCCTAAGCCAACCACCTTGAGAGTGGGATGGAGATCCTTGCATGGTTTGAAGGGTATGAATGACTGCATGCTTATACTAAAGGATTAGAAAATAAAAATGTTTAGTCAAAGGTTATCATCTCCTTTTTGGTTCCGGATTACATAATAGCCTTCATCAATCTTCAAGAATATTAAATCTAAATTAGTTTTCGATTTTAATTTCTTCTGTAAAATGGGAATTTACTTCTGAAAAAATATAGAATTTATAACCTTTAACGTATTAGCAAATATAGAGTTTTTAACAGATGTTTTCTTCATCATTTTAAGTTAAATACCAGTACTTAAAAAAGGCTCTGATTGTATGCTTGAAACTTTCTAAAATCAGTTCTTACAACCAAGAAAGCTTAAGTTGGTGGGTGAGGGGGTTGGGGGGGTGGGGTTCTGCCCCTGGATAGACATAAAACTATTTGATATTGTTTAGGATTGATGAATAATCTTGGATTTATTAACGTCCTGTGATGTTGCGGTCCTTAAAAATCATAATCTATGGGTCTTGTTTCCACTATACAACCCCTCACCCCCTCAGTCATCACTGCTTTCTTTTTAGACATCTTGTGCAGTTATTCTCTATCCAAAATAATGAAAGGTATGATCAGCATTTGCTTGCTCTTTCATCATATCTTTGATTGAGGGCTAAAAGATACTTATTAGTGAAATTTTAATATCTTGGATATAACTTCCATGGAATATTGAGTTTTGTTTTTCATGGCAGCTGCAGTAACACTTTTATCTTCTTCCAGATTTATTCATTCAATTTGTTGTCAGTACATTCCATGCAGTTCCTATAAAAAACTTCCTATCAAATTGGATTTATTGAGCAAAAACTGATAGAACTTTGCTGATATTGTCTTTCCCAGTTTCATACTTTGAGGTTCCCCTGCCAACGCAATAAGTTTCTTTTTTTTATCTACTTCATTTTCATAAGCACTTAGTCCTTTATTCCTTCGTATCATTATCTTGCTAATTAAGATTTTTTTTGAGAGAAGAAAGTGAAGATATTATTAAAAGGCCCCAAGGGGGTGCCACCCACTAAAAAGAATAATTACAGAGATTAGAGACCAGAAAATCTACAAAACTCCCAAATCCATGTCATCAAGCTATAAACGAAATATTTAGGGCGTGGAACTGGTGACCCAAAACAATCTAAGACGAATGATTTTGCCTCTGCTTGTCAATTTATCCGTGGTCAAAATTCTTTACCATGCTCCTCCCTAGATAAAAAATACTTGCTTATGGATTTTCTTCCAAGGGAACCTGAAGGCCTCAACATTTTGGTTACACAAATTCTTGCAAAAAGACCACCCAAAACTCCCCATTCTTGGTGAGATGCATCTGAGGTCTTCATCCTTTAGAGGGTCAATTTGGCATTTAGAAGAGCCATAAAATCCACTAACTCCTCAAACTCTAAATAGTTATGATTACTAAAGAGTTGAATATTCTAAGCAACCTGGTTACCTAATTAACAAATCAGAAGATCATTCACCACTGCTTTTTGTCTGAACAAAGAGTAAATGTGAGGGAACCAACTTTTCAACATTCTCTTGTTGCACCGCCCATCATCCCAAAGACCCACAGACTGTCCATTACCAACCCTCAAAACCACCATGTTCATGAATCAGTCCCAATCTCAGGCAATCAATCTCCACAAACTGCTACCATATGGGTGTCTATAAATGCCGGGCTTCCAATGCCTTCTTTTGCTAATTAAGATTTTGAAAGGATTTCTCGCTCAGAGACATATAAGAGGTCTAGAGCATATTTTTTGTAAAAGAAAGAGTTCAAGTGCTTTATAACAAAGCAATATTCAAGACTCTGATATCTGTGGGTTCAGAAAATTAAAGAGATTAGAACTATATTCATAATGTTTTACCAAACTATTTTGACATCAATAGTCTGCTTGCATGATTAGAGCTCATCCTGTTCCTAGAAACAAGATGTGGAGCAATTATGCTGGGTTGTTGGAATCTTCTAAACAAAGTTGTCCTCCATACAACTGTTGTGGATGCTACAAATTTTTTGGAATATAAAGTAGTTGTGGATGCAACCAATAGTATCTGTTTCTTCTATTATTTACCTACTGCTTTTACAGGTGGAACAATTGCACAAGATATTCAAACTATGTGGTTCTCCTTCTGAAGAATATTGGAAAAGTCAAAGTTGCCACATGCAACCATATTTAAGCCCCAACAATCATACAAAAGATGTATAGTGGAGACTTTTAAAGATTTCCCCCCATCATCGCTGCCACTAATTGAGACTCTTCTTACAATTGATCCAGTTGAACGTCAAACTGCTACTGCTGCATTGAAGAGTGAAGTGAGCTTTGCTGCCTTTAAATGCATACTATGTTCTGTCTCTTTACTGTTTCTTTTATGTACTTTTACCTGGAAAACTGCTTTCTTCATTAGTCTACCTCTAGAACACTAGAAAGTTAGCTTTTTATACATATAACATTCTGTTTCTTGATGGTTGATGTGATTTTTCATCTATCAATATGAACATGAAATTCCATAACTAGGCCTAAGATGGGGCTTTTAACCTCATTTCTTGTTAGACAGTTATGGGATGGATCAAGGCCACTGGATATTATTGCATCTTTCAATGCAGTCTGAGAATTACTTTCATTGCTGAAGCTTCTAGTCACATTTTACGCAAAGAAAGTTTTCCAAAAGCTGCTATATTTTGATTCTTACATATACTTTTAAAACATTATTATAGTTTGGCTGAAAATGTCTTTGCATTTTAAAATGATTTTCATGGAAAAGAACTGCTGCATCTTTTGAAGGAGCATAAGCATGAAGAAGACCATAAGGCTGCTATAGTCTTGATGTTTGTTCTAGTTTCCATGTCGAGAACGAGGCCATAGTATTTGGCAATAAGGAATTTATTTTATCTTGTGGACTCACCAATTGTAGTTTGTATCTGAAATTTCTCCAAACTGTTTTCCTTGGAATATTTTTTGGAACTCATAGCAAATACAAAATATTCATTCACTGTTTATGGGTTCAAACTCGCTGAATGAGAACACTCAAGGTTGTTTTATTTGTTGTTATTGTTGTTTTTTTTCTTCTTAAAGGCTCCTAGCTCTGTTGGTTGAGCATGACCTATTAAATGGTGAATTGCTAGTGGATAGTGTTCCCTTTCCAAGACCAAGTTTAATGGTTTGGTTGGAAATAAATATTGATTTGAGTTCTGATTGACATGTAAATTATTTGAGAAAAGCTTTCATGTTGGTATTCCATAAACATTGATGTTGATATCTGGTGTTCTGATCCCTTTCTTGCAGTTCTTTACAACAAAGCCTTATGCCTGTGATCCCTCAAGTCTTCCAAACTATCCTCCCAGCAAGGAGATGGATGCTAAGCTAAGAGATGAAGAAGCTAGAAGGTGATCTCTCTAACACTGACAATGCTCTTTGAGAAGTTCAAGTCATGATTTTGGGGAAAAAAAAGAAACATGAACTGCATCAAAATAGATAGAAAATACATTGCAAACATTTTAGAACTTTCCATCTTCCAATCAATTTATAGTTTTATTTGGAACTCCTTCTAGTTAATCTGTTGCCCGACATATTTCTTTCTTCATGACTTAGGTTGAGAGCAGCTGGCAAAACTAATGCAGATGGGGTGAAGAAATCCCGTCCACGCGATCGAGCTGTGCGGGCAATCCCTGCTCCTGAAGCCAATGCCGAGCTTCAAGCAAATCTAGATGTATGTCAGATAAGTTGCTTTGATCTTGAGTTTTACTTTGTCCTCATTTTTTTATTCTCACTGGATGCATTTGCTGAAATGTGGTATACTCTACTTATTCTACTTTGACCCTTTCTATTTTCAGCCACATTTTTTGCTGTTTTTTAAGACCAAGAAAGATATTTCTCACTCATCTGAATATTCTATCACTGTCTAGAAATAAATAGATGCACGTGACCAATATAGGAATCATAACAGTGGTCGCTATATAGGCATTAATTTTCAACCAGCCAATTTGTTGTGGGAAACCTTAACCTACCATTCCCAAGTCTCCAAAAGTTTCTCATTCCGCAGAAACAAATGGAAAGTTTAGAAACCATACACCATGCATTCTTTTCCCTAATGGAAGAGTAAAAAGTGAAAGCTTACATTTTTAGAACTTGGTGGGAGGTTGAAGGTATTTCAACGGGTCTCTGAAAGTCAAATTCTCATAGGCCTCGGGTCTTAGGACATCCCAATGGCAAATACACTGTGCTGGCTACTATTAATATCTCTAAATGCAGAGGACTCATAGACTTCAAGCGTGTTTAGAGTTGTTCTTTCTTAGTCGATCTTGGTTTGGTGTGAGAAGGGAAAAAAAAGTGGAAAAGCTATGAAGTGTTTTAGTAATCGTGGAATCACTTGAAACTTTTTGTTTTAAGTTAAAATAAAAATGCTAATCAAACCGTGATTTTTTTAGGGCTTTAAGCTTGTATAGCTTAAAGCTGCATTGATAATTTCTTTTGACAAAATTATCTTTTTGACATTTAACAGATTTTCAGTTAATTTTTTAATTTAAGATTGTCTTTGGCAATGATTAAAAATCTGTGGCAAGTTTTTAGAGATTAAGAACGTGGCAGTTGTCCAGATCTGGTTATTAGTCCATTACATATATGATATACTCTTGAAAACCGTTTAAAATATCTTTCGCGCAAAATGTTGATATGTCGAAAGCAACTTTACAGCTGTCCCAAAAGGATTCCCACCTCCATCTATAAATTTTCAAATTATGTACAGTAGATGAGTTTTAATTGCCAGAACTGGTGTCAGCATTCTGGCACACGTCTAAACCAAGTAGCTGCGGTTGTATTAATTTATTTATAGTAGAATGTGTGGAAGTATGGGACGTAGATAGGCACCACATTATTTTTCTGATTTGAGCAATTAAGTCTGCTGCCTCTCTCTCTTATTGTGACTCTTCCCTATCTCTGTAGTGCATCTATCTATGAATTACAAACCATGTTGCAATTAGTTTCTGAAATTTTTAATTACAATTTGGTCCTAAACTCAAAATAATTTCAATTCGTTATTTATATATAATTCTAAATATTTTGATAGAAATTGTAGAAAATATTTTTTATCTTGTGCATATTCTATTTTCAAAGAGTATATAAGTTACAACAGCTGGAATTTTTTTTGAAATAGTTATAACAATTGAGTATTAACCTTAATAATTTAATAAGAACAATAACTTTATTTTATTTAAACATTTAGATTATATTAACATTCATTGGGTAATAAGAAGATGCCAGCAATAATTAGTCTTTTGGATATTTTTTCTTTTTAGATTTGAGTCCTTATTCAATTTTAATAGAAGTTTTATGCTTTTTGAGTCATTTTTTATGTTACCCAAATGAGGTAGAAAAAATTTACCATCGATTCTATAGAGAAGCTTTATTAACTGTGAAATAATTTTATCAAGTCATGCCAAATTATAATGGAAAAAGAAAATTGAGACGCAATTGTAATATAACTAATAGTTTTAAAGAGTAGATTGATAATTTTTTCAAGAAAAAACTTCTATTGTTCTGTCTGATGTGGTTTGTTAATCATCTTTGATAATGGCAATTCATGCCTAATGACAGAGGCGGCGACTTATAACCCATGCAAATGCAAAGAGCAAGAGTGAGAAATTTCCTCCTCCACACCAAGATGGAACTCTGGGTTATCCTTTGGGTTCTTCACATCATATTGATCCAGCTTTTGATCCCCCTGATGTACCATTCAGTTCAACAAATTTTTCATATCCCAAAGCATCTATCCAGACTTGGTCTGGCCCGTTGGTAGACTCAGCTGCTGTGGGTGCTCCGAGGAGAAAGAAACACACGGCAGGTGATGAAAAATCATCCAAGAAGGAATCCGAGAAAGATAAGAGTTCTACTCGGATCTAGCAAAAGAGAGAGCATGTAATATAGCTTCTTGTTTTCTCGATACAATTCATGAGGCGGCAAAAGCTGCTGAGTCGGTGGTTCTTAGTTCCGAGCCGGGAAAGCCAGTTAAATTCCATTGAGAGGTAATATACCTTGTATTCATTATTCCTATTGTTATATATATTTTTTCTTTTTGGGTATTTTGACAAAGCTTATCCATTGTTGTACATGTTTCATTGCATCTTCCTGTGTCGAAGAACTCTACCAAGTCAGTGAAATTTCCGATAAACTAGTCCTGAAAATCCTGATATTTTTTTGATTCTCGTAGGTTATATTATGCTCACCTTGATCGTCAATGTTGGCATAGGTGCTCTTCTAAGTCTTCTTCTGTTTAAGTTGTTGCTGGGCTGTGTTTTTCAATTTTTTGTAGTGTTCGTTTGTTGCGTTGTACGGTGATGATAATAGTAATAATACTCGCAAATAATTCCGTCCCAAAAAATTCACTACCCTGTAAACAAAGGATACTCGAAATGTCTCAAACACATACTTCCCTTTATAAAAAGCCCAAAAATCCATGTCAAACTTATTTTAATGATTTAGGGCATTGTCATTTTGGTTTATATACATTTTGTTTTTAATGGAGTTTAAAATATACAGTAACTAAAAATATTAACCTTAATAAAATTTAACAACAACAATCAATTCATTTTATATAAAAATTGCAGATAATAGTAAGGGACAAAATAAAATGTTAGCAATCACTATTTTTCGAAATTCTAATTTTGAGTTTTTAGATTGCTTTTATATATAACTTGAGTGAGACAAAAAGTTAACGGTGACGATTTGGCTAGGATATTGGGTTAACTCAAGTCAGTAAATTTCCCACTAAAACTCCTTGGCTGCCTCTAGGTGCTAGCATTAAAATGGTAATTCTGTGGGAATATTGATTAAAGATGGAACAGTGTGGTTGGCAAAGAGGAAACATTTAAATGAAGGGGAAATTTTCTGTTCTTTAGAGCCTAAAGCCAAGTTTGAGTTTGAAAGATAAGTTGTGTTGTGTGCCAGGTAAGGTGCGCTTTTGGCTCCTGTAGATGGGGGTGGGTTAGAAACAATTGAGTATTTATGGTTATATTCAATTCAAGGTGAGGAATGGTAGACGGATTATGCTTTAGGATTATATTTAAGTATCCTGTCAAATCCTTTTAAAAGGAATTTTCTACCATCATCAACTTCATTCATACGAGGATTGTTTGAATTCTTTGGAGATTATTGTTGGATTTCCTTTCTTGACAAGGTATACTTTTTGTTATTCAATTG